ATTTATATTATATTAGAATTTAAAGAGTAAATATAAAAGATTGAAAGAAAGAATAATAATAGGATTCTTGAATGCAACATTTGGAATGATGTTTCCAGTTGTAGATGTGTTAAGCAAAGAGAGATAATGATAGTTTCTTGAGTTTTGAGTTAAGCTTGTTGTAGATGAGAGAGAAATTTTGACGAGACTGAGGAACTTCATTTGGAATGATGTTTCCAGTTGTAGATGTGTTAAGCAAAGAGAGATAATGATAGTTTCTTGAGTTTTTGCAATTAACCATCCTCAATGACTATTGTTTTAATATAATTTTTAAATTTTTTAAAACTGACATTTTAGTTGTATATTTTTTCTAACAAAGGTACATTCACTAGGTGATAACAGTAAAATGGGATGAAAATATGATAAATAGCATCCCTATATAGTGCCAAACAATATTTATACGGGCCAAAAAAATTTGGCTAGAGATTTGGCGAGTTATAAAACTTAGAAAATTGAGAGGGATTTTTATTTTTGAATTTTTTTGGAAAGTTAAAATTGCGATTAAAAATCGATTTCCAGGAGAACTAAGCATCTCATCATATATTTAAATCGATAAAAATATTAAATAATAGTTGAATAGTATAACAACGTGAAATTATGGCTGAATCTACAGAAAAAATGAACATATTTGACATTTTTGAAAATTCATACGTTAGATGGTGACAGACTCATAAACTATACTTTAGCTAAGATTGATATATGGTTTCAACAACACATGGTTAAAATTGTAAAAATATTTTAGATTTCAAAAAGGTTATATGGTAATATAATGGAACAAAGTCAACAAATAGCATGTTAAATATGTTATAATTAACTTTTTATTAGATCCAAAGTAGATATCGAATGGTTTCCAGCTTTATGGTTAAATATTTTCTTTTCGAGCTTCTCTTTAACTGTATTAAGGTTGTAAATTTTTGATGCTAGAAACTATGGAATCTTCTTTGCTGCTGCATTTTTCTTGAGAGTTCTTGCAATTTCGAATAGATCTGCGCATTGTATGAAATTGAGGCTTTAAAATATCTTGAAAACAGAATAGGACTGCTTTTCCAAAGGAATGCTTACTTGTAAATCAGAGAGTTTCAAAATTGAGAGCAAGATTATCATCATAACTTTCGATTTTGCTGCGAAAAAGGAAGACAAGTAATTAACAAATCATTTACTGTTGTTCATCAAAAGAAGAAAACTTTGATAACAAACTAATGATGATAAAATCAAGCTATCTTTTAATATTTTAAATTGATAAACATTCATAAATGGTTTAAAATATTTTCTTTTTAATTTCTATAAGATATTATCATGATTATATAATAAAATTTATATTTTTATTCAAAAAGGCAATATTTCAAACTTTTAATTTCAAAATCTTAATTCTGCAATAAGTGTATTTAATTGTAGCAATTTAATGATCCTTCGTCATGCTTAGCAATTTGGAACTCATAAATTAATGATTTCTTCAAGTAAAATTCTGCATTATTTCAAAAGTCAATAATTCTCTAGTAACTTTTTTCTTCAAACCCTAACCATTATATTATATGTATAATGGAGAATAATTGCAAAGAAAGATAGCCGAATTTACTGGGTAGTTCTTGTGATGCGAAATAATTGCAAATTAACACATAGTTTTAACAGCATCAATCTCTTTTTGCTCTCATTTAAATGCATTCGCACACTTTAATTTTGAAATATAAGAGTTTTGGAAATTATCAAATTTATCTGCTCAAATACTATAGATCTTCATAAGTGTTAATAGAATCACCAGCCTTACATATAGTGTTTAATATAATGATGCACATCATACTGGGATTTATTCCTTATTCATCTAGTTATTATAAGATTTACAACCCCATGAAAATTTAAAATTTTGTCAAAAATATAGGGTGTCCAAAGGTGCGTTTAGCACAGCGCTCTATATGAGACTATTAAAGGAGATATATGCTGATTATAAATATATAATAAAAAATATGAATATATGTATATGATGAGTATGTTGTATTTTGGCGCCATGCCGGTATATAAAATGAATTGTGAGACAAGAGGCGGTTTCGCGGGAAATTTTGGCGGGTTTTTTTTCATTTTTTTAATGAATCATAAATAAAACATCCTCGCTCTTGCAAAAAAATGCAAAGACTGTAAAAAAATCTACGAGACATTGGTAAAATGCTTCGGTATGGATGCTCCTAGCTATTCCACTGTAACGTATCATGTTAGGATGTATCACTTCATGAACAAAAAGGCGCCCATCATAAAAATTGACAAAAATCGCCGGATCAAAGAAAAATCAAAGCAATTCTTCAAGTGCTAGATGAAGACCCAAGAGCATCACTCAGAAGGATAGAGGAGATGACAAAGATACCACGTACAACAGTCAGTTATTATCTGCACAATTATTTGAACTAAAACTAGCGTATACACGTTGGGTTCCGCACAACCTTAATTCAGTTCAAAAAAAATCTAGAGTCCAATCTTCGAAAGAGCTCCTCTCTATATTGGGTGCGTATCAATCCAAGAAGTTTCGCTTTTTAGTAACAGGGGACGAGTCTTGGTTTCAATATGCAACAGAAGCCAAAATCATGTGGATCCCGAAGGATGAAAATCCGCAAATTCCCGAAGAAAAAAATTGACACACCAATGATGATGTTGTCGGTTTTTTGGGGCGTGAATGGCATCATCGCAATTGATATTCTTCAAAAACCTAATACGATGAATGCTCAGTATCTAATTGACAATGTTCTTACTCAAATTATCAATTCTGATGAGTTTGAGAAATCCAAACAACAAAAACAAAAGTTTGCAATTCATTTTGATAATTCAAGAGTTCACAAAAGTCATAAGGTAATGAATTACTTTGGTGGAAAAACAATGTCAAAGTTGTTCCAAACCCAATTTATTCACCTGATATTGCACCCTCTGACTTTTATTTTCGGCACGCTAAAAAAGAGAGCTGAAGGACGCGAATTCGCGAGTCCAGATGATCTTGAAAATTTTGTAAGAGAGCAATTTGAGCAATTTTCTCATGATGATTTAAAGCGTGTCTTTCAAGCCTGGATCGATCGCTGCGAACGCGTGATTGAATCCAATGGTGATTATATTTAAATAAACTTTATATATATGTAACTTGTTTATTTCTATTCGCAGTATTCAGGTTTGTGCTAAACACACCTTTGGACACCCTATAGTGAATGTACCTTTTTTCTAACACAACTATCAATAAATTGTAATATCATTATACTATATATTAATATGAATTTTTATAGAAAAGCTTTATTTTTTTCTCAATTTTTAATTTCATTTCAGTCTCTAAACTTTCTTACTATGTAAAAACGTATTATTGTAGTAATAAAATAAAATACATGTTTTATTCGATCTCGTATTTCAAAAAAATAAAATTACTTATATAAAAAGATTCTCTTTAGTCAACTTTCTTTTTGAATCTCTAATAAGTTTTTACTGTTGTTCTATATATTAAGTATTGATTCTTGTAGTAAAGAAAATCCGGAACGTTATTTATTAGAATACTCGAACTTTGACTTACATATTACTAATTGTAATTATTTTCAAGAGCTATTTCTATTACTCCTACTTGTTCGGCTTAAAATCTGCTATATTGTTAAGATAAACTAAGTCTAAATTTTGAACCATTTTTTGAAGTTTAAAGTGTAATACATATCGATTTTTTATCCGAATTTAAGAATTGCTTCAAAGTTTTAGCGTGAAATCGTGCATTTTTTCTAATGAAATTGTTATTATAAGATAAGCAATCTGAGTTTTTTTGAATAATATGTCACTACACATGATAGAGCGTTACGTGCTGAAAAGTTACGCTTCGTTCTGAAAGTGGTAATGAAGTTTTATTAGAATTCATCAAAAAAACGTATGAAAATAATCGTATGTCAAAATGTGAGCACTTCTCAAAATTTGCTCACATTTTGACTATTTTTGTGAGATCTTCCTCACAATTTTTTGACAAACGTACAAAAAAGTGCCAAAATGTGAGCAAATGTGAGCAATTTTTATATCTCATGCTTGAATATTAAATAGCCTTAACGAAGAATTTTTCAAGTGATATTTTATATTCATCAACTATTTTATTATAAATATCATTATATGTTAAATGAAGTTCAGTTGTTGTTCCGTTCTTTGATATCTTAATTGTGCTAATATCCTTTATAGGATTTATTTTTGCAACTGTTCCGCAGCATGAAACCTCATCATCTATGAAAAATTGAATCTTAACGTCTGAATCTTGAACATCACAAAGAATGGTGATAATGTGAATTAATGATTCATAAGGTAAAATAATTAACCGGATTGATCAATTAAATTTATTATTGAATCATAATTATTAATTATTATATCACGGTAAATTTTCATTAATTCAGAATTAATGTCTATTTTATATGGGTTATCAAGTGGTGCTGGGTATGTTGGATAAGTGGGAATTTCAACAGGTTCTTTACCGGGTTCAGATAAAATGATTGGGTCTCCATCTTCTTTATTTTGCTCCTCCTCCTTTTTCGGTAAGTCACGAGTTAATAAATTTGGTTGAGTTGCTGACCTTGTTAATTCAGGGTTAACATTAACTTTAACATTTTGAATAATTTGATTTTCATCATTTACGTTATAAAACCGTAATCTCTGCTTTTGCGTTAGTGTTCTTTTGACTAGTGAAACGTCTTCTCATTTATAATCGAATAAAAAAATATATTTAAACTTTTATTTTGCTGGAAGTTTTGAATCTATTATTCCCTGTATTTGTTCTTGAAGATGATTTTTAGCTGATTCATTGTAATTAATAGACCTAATATATTCATTAATTGCATTCTTATAATCATCTGATTTCTCAAATTTTCTTTTATCTGATTCCTTAACTAAATCATAAGTTAAACCACGTTGCTGATATGATGGTTTCTTAATTAAATCTTTGAATGCTTGAGATAAAGCACCTGATGCAATTCTTGCTACTATAATTGGTTGGAATTGTTGTTTAAGTTCATCTTTAACATTTGCGAAAACTGGATCGAATAAAGCAACTTTAAAGAATTTCTTAGCTGAAATTTCAGGTCTAATATTGCATATTGACCATCAAACTGGTTAGAATATCGTTGGTAATCCATCCGGTCCCTCTTCAATAGCATTTAATTCTTCATTGAAATAAGAATATGGATTATAACGGTATGAATTAATTGGACCATTTTCACCTTCTCCAATGTATTGTTTAACAGCTTTTCCATTTTCATCAAATTGCATAGGATAACGTTCATTATATGCTTTACGTTTAGGATAATCAGTTATAGTTAATTTATAACCATTTATGACTTTAATATTACCTTGACCATCAGTAACGAAAACTTCATTTATACCATCAGGTTTTCCATCAGGACCCGTAATGTCTGCTTCGTGTGCTTCCCAATTTGGGCCATGACGTTTGGCATATGCTTGAGCTTCTGGTAATGTTAAAACGTTTCTCATTTGTTTAACATCTTTTTGAAGACCAGCAACAATATGAACTAATTCTTTCATTCCATCAGGAACTTTCATAGTTCTATTATATGCACCCTTTTTGTTTGTTCCTTGTTTTAATGGAACCTGTAGAAGATTTGCTATTTCTGTCATGTTTAATTATAAATAAAAAATAAAAATTAATTATAAAAAGTTAATCAAATTTAACACCTCCTTTATTTAAATCAACTATTATTTTTCCATGTTCACCTAATTGCTGATATTGTGTGTAAAGTTCATTAATGCTCATTGGTAAATTCACTTGATAAAGCATAACGTTCAACTGTTGACGACTAAACCCACTGAAAATGAAAAGGGTTGATAGATTTGATTTAATGTTTGTGCTTAATGCTTTGAAGTATTGAACAGCCATGAAGAATGAACACTGAATGTGTCGACATTGAGTTAATAATTGATTAAAATATGATTTCTCATTTGTTATTAGTTTTGATTTCACTGCATCATCTAGAAAAATGAGTGAATGCAAAAATTCTCTATCAAAATTTGAAATAGAAAGTGTTTCAAATAATTCATCCCGTTGTTTATCAATAATTTTATCCTCTAATCCTTGCTTCTTGATTGTATTATATAATTCTTTATACATTAAAAAGTTTTTTAAATAATCTTCTGCTTCTTCTTGTGATAAATAAATAATTGGAATTTTGATTAAATGCTTTAAAGATTCAAATGTATCATCTGAAAGTGAACCTGAACGGTTGATATAAATTAACACATGTGAATAGGGGGAAGTGTTAGCAATAATGATAATTTGTTTTAATATCGTTAATGTTTTACCTTTATTTTGTTTACCAATTGCTGCAGTGATTGAATTTAAGTAACATTCAGAATATGGAATTTTCATTAATTTTTCCTTTGAGAGATTATTTTTATTATTACTCAATGCTTCATTAATCATATCATCTATGTATGTATTATATACTCCTGTTAATTCTTCATAAGGAGTGGATGAATTTAAATCCATTTAATCAAAAATAAATTTATAATTTTAAACATTTCTATTCATCAATATTTCATCATATGAACTTCTATACTGTGGTGGTGTACCTGTTGGATGATATTTCAAACCTTCATCTGGTGTCCATGTCCAATATGTAGTCCTAGTAAACCAAACCTGAGGAGGATTTGTCACCTTTGAACAGTAAGTGTCATTTTCACCCTGAATGATTGGATATGCTTTCACTTGTACTGTAACTTGTGAGTTGAAAGTTTTTAATCCATCAAAGAATATACCCGCTCCATCACGTTGAACTGGAATAGTGCATAAGAATGAAGTTTGGTCTTTCCATGTTCTAGCTAATGGCGTGCCATCATCTGCATTCAGTGGTCTAGTTAATGAGTCCTCGTATTCTTCTGTGCATTCATTCACCCCATCTAAATCAGAAGCTTGAAGCATACGTGTAAAGAATATGTCACCCACTGTGGTCATCGCTTGATCGGGGAAGTTTCTGGAATCTATAGTGACCTGAAGACCTCGAAGCATTGGATTTTCTAAAACTGTTCTTTGCATTGCATTCTTCGGAAATGCTAACACAACATCTGTAACATTATGAAGAGCGTATGAGAAATCTGAACCGATACCTTCAGGAGTGATGCAACCTCCATTTAGTGAACGAACGTCAATATGTTGAGCTGGAATCATGAATGGATCTTCCTTACTGAATAAACGTGGTATTGCTTTAACTGATTCTTCAATTAAACCATATCCTGGTGTAATGCATTTATCCTCTAAAACTTCCATCTTTGTGCATGAAATAATAACGTCATCAACTGTTGCGTCAGCAGATGTAGCGGCTAAACTTGTAATTAATTTGGCAGGAAGTCCGATTTGTTGGAATTTGCGATCATATTTATAAACATGATTCATAATCTTTTCATAATTTTCATCAGTTATCTTTTCATAAACGTAATTTTGTAAATCAGCAACTCTTAACGGGTCAACCTGACAAAATACTAAAGTATCCCTGAAAACATAATATTTAAGAATGATATCACCAAATGATTTAGGATAATCATCGAACGCCTGAATGCTAACAAATCATTTACCGGAATAATCATATCAAAAGTGACATCAACTTCTTCATTTGCTTTCTTGAAAACTTCTGAAGGGTTAATATATTTACCACATACTGAGTTATCATATTTTTGAACATTATTATATAACGAATGAACAAACTTTTTAACTTTCCTTTCTGATTTTGGTTTATATGTTGCAAATGCAAAAGATTCACGGGCGCAATCCATCTGAAGATAACTGGCATCACCTCTTTCGGTTTCTACTTCTAATTGTTTAAAGCTTTGATTTGATGATTTGTAACCAACGAATAAACGCATGCATTTAAAAGCGGCATCACATGTGAAAGCTTTATTTGAAACTAGAGTCGCTTTAACTTTGCGTTTAATATATGTGTCACCTAATTGGTTCACATCATGAGCCGGATTTGTAATTCTTAAATGAGTTTGTTTATCATCAAAATATGGAGCATCAGAGTCATAACATGAACTTTCAAGTTCTCTATAATATCTTCTACCGTCATTCTTTGCGAATATTTCATTTATCTTTTCGAATGAATGAAACACATTTCCATTAATCGGTTTAGTATTTGGCACCAAATAGTTAGTCGTCATTTATTAATAAATAAAAAATCAAAATTAAAAGATGAAAATGAATTTTTAATTTTAATGAAATAATCAACTATGGCCGCGGGTATATTTAAGAAACTGTGGGATAAAGTAAAAAGAGGAGCGCATAAAGTTTGGGAAACATTGAAGAAGGGAGCAAATTGGATATTTAAGAATAAAGAAGCAATTAGTGACATTGCTGAATCAATAACACCAAAAGCTGCCCCAATAAGAGAAGTATTAAATAAAGGAGAAAAAGTTTATCAAAGACTTCAACCAATACTAAGATAAAAATAATATTTATTTATTTTTCCACTATCTACCTCCTATTTTATTAAGTATTCCTTCAGCAATTCCACCAACTGCGTTACCTGCTTGTGCTCCCATCGCTGGATTACCTGCTTTAGTACCTAATACTCCACCTATGATAGTTCCTGCCGTTTTCGCTACTGGTGCTAAAAAGTTTGCTACAGGTTTAATAATCTTTTTATAAACCCAACCCGCAGCTTTCTTAATTCCATCCCATAATTTTTTAAAGAATCCTGCCGCCATTTCTGATTTAATATTAATTAAAAAATATATTTCATCACTTATATTCTAATTTTTATTTAATGATAAATGAAACCGATTTTAAAAATAAATGAAACAGAGGAGAAAGAAATAAATGAAAGTGAAAATGTTCAACAAAAAATAAACGTTGTTAAACCAATTACTGAAATAAAAATTTTTTCATCTGTTGAAGAATTTAATGACTATTATGCTAATAATAAAAAATTATTTGAAGAATTGACAACATGTAAATTGAATAAAATGTTTAAAGTTGATGGATTCAAAATTTCAAAAATAAAAGGAGTGGTTAGTTTGAAATCTATTCCTCAATCAAGAATCACCGCATTAATGAAAATTGATGATTTAACAAAAAGAATAGAAGAGATTGAAGAAAGAATGAATCAAATAATTGATTTCATAAATTCAAAAATGTAAGACATTAATTTTTAAAGTTTATTTTTTATTCATGAAAATAATTATTTCTAATTTCTTTTACTCTCTCGTATATACTAGATTTAAAGAATTCAGAACATTTCCCATAATCTCCTAAATGTTTTCTTATCTCTAACGTGTGCCAGTTATTATATGAAACTGAATAAACTTTATCTTTATCTTTACACCTTTCATCACTTCCAATATATTTATATCTCAGTTTTGATTTAGCGTTTTCATATTCATTAGCGTTTAATAATTCACAGTCTTCCTTTTTAAATAAATGTTTTATGTATTCAGGATTTAATATTCTTCTTTTATATGCTCCTAACTTAGTTCTAAAGGTTTTTCTACAAAATTTAGGAATTCCATCCTCTTTAATGTCATCAATGATTTCCATTTCATTATTTTCAATTTCTTCTTCTCGTTTATGAGGTCTTTGATTATGACTCCATTGATTCCATGAAATTAAATATTCTTTATCATTATATTTATACCTCATTAGCTTATTTTGGCTTTCATATTCATTTAATAATTCACAATCTTCATTTTTAAATTGAAGTTTAACCCATTCAGGATTTAAACAATGTTTAATTAATCGCGGAATATCTGACATCGTCTGTATATAGATTCTTTTATAAAAGATAAAAAATAAATTATTTTAAAATTAATGTTAATTTTTTAATGATTTATAAATAAATATATTTTAATGCATCGTCTATATATAGACGTAACAAAAAAAGTCACTAAACCCATCATATCCTACTACTTTTGATGTTTAATTTTTTGACAAATACAAATTGTATGGAATATGCCGAAACAATGAATTGTTTAGTAGCAGTAATAGAATGCAATATTGAATTAGATGAAATTGATCAAAACAATATGCTTTTTTAAAACATTAGTATCTGATAAATCAAATAAATTGAATTTGTTACAGAATTCTTTAATTGTAAGAAGATGTTAACAATTAAAGTGTTATGTTGAGAGCAATTAATGGTCACACACGTGTTCTGCGACTTCTTCTTTCTGATCCATCCATTGATGTCAATGCCACTAACAACTCATCACGTACAGCATTGATCCGGGCAGCTCGTGACGGACATTTCGAAGCTTTAGAACTTCTCTTGAGTTTTCCAGGCATCGAGAAGAACATCGTCGACAAGAAGAATCGCAGTGCTCTTCATTACGCAGTTCTTCTCCACCACAAACAGTGCGTTGAGTGTCTTCTGAACGACAAAGATGTCAATCCACAACTTCCTGATGATTCTAGTTTCACACCTCTTCACATCGCTGCATCTAATGATTTCTCAGACTTAATACGTCTTTTCGCCGATCGAGATGACGTTGACTTGAACTGCGTCGACTCAATCCAGTGGACACCTCTCCATGTTGCCGCTAAATGCGGCTCAACTAGTTTCGTCGAAGAGTTGCTTCAACACGAAAATGTCGATGTCAACCGTCAGAACTTGATGAAGCGAACTCCTATTTTCAACGCTATTGAAAACGAAAAAATCGAAGTTGTCAAAGTTCTCTTTCTCGTGAAGATCTCGATTTGAGTGTTGTTGACAGCGAAGGACACACAGCTAAAGACGTCGCACTCCAGACAAAGAACGAAGATATCATTAATCTTCTTTTAAATAAATGAGTTTTTTTATTTTTTTTGTTTGTAAAAAAATTATTTTTAATAATAAAAAACGATAATAATAAATCCTTGAAAAATTAACGCACTTGTCTAAAGGAAAATGATAAATGATGTTACGTATTGGAAGCATATTTATCCTGCTTTACAGAAATATGTTGAAAAGTGAGTAAAGTTATGAATAAACTGATCCTAGTGAATGATATTGTATTACACAGAAATTGAATGCGACATTTGAAATTGTTTGCAATAGCGAGAGAATAGATTATTGAATGACAAAAATGCATCTTGAGTGTCTTTACTTATACTTGTAATGACAAATGTTCTTAAGGGTGCACTTACGCGTATCTGACTTTAATTCAAATTTCTGACAAATGGCGTGAAGTGTCATTGAAAATTAACCTTAAACATCTGAATCGAAGGACATGTAATACAGGTGTAAGTGCACTCTTAAGAAAAATTTTCCACTTCAAGATAGCAATGATATAATAGAATTGAATAAGAAATCGTTAAATTTATTATCCAACATCTCCCCAAGATACAATGTCCAATCATTTGTAAACGAAGAATATTACAAAATATCATCGAAATAACAATAATTCTTTTTGCTATAGTTTTATTCTTTCTGTCATAGCAAATTTCTATTATAATATTGAACTCTTTATTGAAATATCAGTTTGTTAATACTTAGATGCCTTACAAAGAAAACCTATTTCGAAATTAAGAGCCATGTTCCCGATATTATTGCATTACTATATCAGTACTAATTATTTAAATTCACTGTAACAAATACGAACTCTTTGAAAATTAAATTGAGAAATCAAGCCGCATCATCTTTTGAATATAAAGTTTTTCATATTTCAATTGATATTAAACAATTGATGAATGCTTTCGTTAATAATGGTCTTTAATTACAATTTTTTGATTATATAAATTCATAAATCATGAATATTAACGCCTTCGTCTAAAGGAAAATTGATGATATAAATCAAAAGCAGATCTCATAGGCTTTTTATCTATAATAGGAAACTCAGCTTCACACAGATATGATGAAAAGTGTGAAAGATTATGAATAGAAGATGTATTTTGAACATTATTTGTTGTAACTGATTTATTTGTTTTACCTATTCTGTCACAGAAAGAATCTTTAACTGTAATTGAACCAGAATCATCTTGAAAAAATTCTACTCCTGGCCCTGTGTTTCCAAGAAATGAACAGTTTTCAATAAGAACATTTGATCTCCTTGCATAGAATGTTCCCCAATTAGATTTTTTGTGTTCATTATTCAAAACATTACAAAAATTAAAATTATAGTTACCACGATTTAATTCTAAAATTAAATTATTTGATGTTGTGTTACAAAATGATGAATATGTTACGTTACTTAGACTTGTTGGAATATTTAGAAGTATTCCTGAGTCATAGTATGCTTCACAGAAACTTGTGTTGATTGATTTAACTTCAATATTTCCATATTGAAGATGATTTGTACAATATTTTTCTAAATTTCCGCATTCATAAAAAGAACTTTCATAAAGATAATTTTTATTATTTGATTTATCAACTAATTCAACATATGAATGATGTCCTTCAGAGTTTGTTTTTGATTTGTAGCCACATGTTCGGTATTGGACAATGGAACTATTACAGTTAAAGTAGAGAGATCCACCATCTGTATTACTGCTGCAGTTAGTAAATGAACAATATGAGTTAAGAAATTTATTTCTTGTATTCGTAAAATAAATGGCACTATTAGTTGTAATGGTGATGAATATACAGTTATATAAGAAGCATTCATTATTTGTTGATCTAGCCGTAACGTTTGTACCTTGAATTGGTTCTGAATTAGGTTGTGTATTGTAAAATAGCTTCCAAACATTATTAGGTGATTGATCAAAGTGTAAATTATTCATAGTTGATGTGTGTTTTGATACTGTTATCTGAAAATCGTGATTGAATTTCATTGTTTTCATCAAAAAAATGAATCGGCATTATTTGACATTTCAATGATGTAAATGTCAAATAATGCCGATTCATTTGAATCTTATATTCAAGTTATGAAATTGCGATTCTTTTAGCTGTCATCAGCATTTTAACAGCTAGTGCATGGAAACAATGATGTAAATCATTCTAATCTTATATAAAAACATCGATTTTGCTGATTAAATTTTTGGATTTCGTAATAAAATGATCAATATTGTAAATAATTAAAGCTATTGTACTTACACATGATTTGTATATTATAAAATGTATGAAATATCGACTTAATTCGCTTGAAAATTTGAAATAGGGAGAATTTTTATATAAAACGCCTAATATCTAACAATTATTACATTAAATGAATACTTAAATTTGAGTAATCGATGATTTATATGAATTCTCTGGTCTGAATAAAGAATATCGAAAATTAGTTTGATTTTGGGGTTGTTTTGATAGTATTGTCAAATGTAATGATGTAAAAACATGAATTTATTAGTAAATACATGCTCGTGTTTGAGTAAAAATAGATATTTGTTGTTGTGAAATAAGTATTTGATTTCTTGTAAATCTTGAATGAAAACAATAAGTTCGTATCAATGGGAAAATCGAATATGTAGCTATTTAATTTGTATCAAAAGAATTTTTTAATGAGAATTTAAATTTCGAAGAAATTTGTTATGTATCGTTGAGTTTTGTAATTAAAACTGATATGTTAATGATGTGATTTGCTTTTTTAAAACATTTATTAGTCTTGATGAAATAATTTTTCTTTTAGTTAAACATTTCTTCTGAGTTTGCTAATAAAGACGGAGTCCTTTGTGAATGTGACATAGGCGCCCGAGAACCGTATGCACAAAAACTCTTATTGGGTGTCTTGTCTTTAGATATTCTTTCAAAAATATGCCAAATTTGATTGATGATTTCTAAAAAAGTAATCTAATCATCTGATGCCATTAATTGTATTTAGAAAAAAAATTCGTTCTTTTAATTTTTTAAGAGTATCACAGCAGATGATTAACTTTCCTTGATTTACGATACAACTAATTCACCAAATGCAGAAGTGCAATCGAATACAAACAATCGAATCTCCTAATTGATGAATCAAATAGTCCATTTTTCATTGAATTATTTAATCAAATCGTCTCTAATCATAGCAATCCTCCAAAATCAATCAGTAGTACACATGTTATCTTTGATCAATTCTTACGTTATAAAGAGAAGAGCACATTTATATGATCTCAAGTATATTTTTGATTTTTTTTACAAATCTTGTCAATAAGACATTTGAAGTTGTTACCGATACAGTTACATAATTTTGAGATACAAATTCACCGCGCAATATTATTTTATTAAACTAAAACAGAGATAATTTTCTAAAAATTTAAATCATACATTGATCAGTACCTTGTAGAAGATACACATATTGATTTCAAATTCGTATGCATTGAAATGTTCGACGACATTTACACTGTTCGTTTTGAACCTATAATTATTCCATTTATAGTTGAAATGACAAAAATTTACCACATCAAGATAAGCGATGATACAATCGAATTGATCTCACATTTCAGCATGATACAAATATCAATAATATGTAAACTAAGAAAACATTATTGATATACTTAAGGGTGCACCCGTATGTACGTTTATTTGAGAGGAGGAGGATTACCCTCTCAATTTTGAGGGATTCGTTAGTTTATTTTCTCGATGAATATGGAATAAAATTTGATTTTTACCTTATCAATATACTTCATATAATATACACATGTTCATGTAAAAACTTTTTTCCAAAATCCTCAGGAATTAAGGAATTTTTGAATTTTAAGAATTTTTTTCGAATTTTTTCGAAAAAAAAATATTTTCAGAACAGCCTTAACGGCTAAGATTTAGGAACAATGTTAAGTATCAAAAAGAAAGGAGGTCTGATATAGACAACATATATCGTTGAAGGTTGAAAAAATCTCTAATATTTGAGCCCAAAATTTCAAATTTTAATTTTTTGAAAAAAGAGGCCACCCGTATGTACGTTTATTTGAGAGGAGGAGGATTATATCTTTGAAAGGGTGAAACATTATGAATATGTTAATTATATAATAATATGTATTATTATAAAAAAGAAAAAATAAAGCACGTTAAAATTTTTCTTTCTTGATTTTTTACAAAATCTACTTAGAATTATGCAAAATATGACTAAATAATTATAAAATAAAATAAAAAAAAAAAGGTAGTGGGGCCTCCAGGCACTTCGTGCCCTCTAGCCCTGAAGATGTTTAGTATAACTTTGTCCGGACAAGTAAGGGTCTATCGTCGCTACAGGAAAAGTTACAGGCGTTCCAAGGAAGTATACTTTGAGAAGCCTTCTTCTGGGTCGAAAACATTATATAATGTTTCGCTTTTCACAAATTATATATGTTTTCATGTTTTGTCATGACTTCTTCGTATATGTTTTGTCATGACTTCTTCGTATATGTTTTTGTCATGATTTCATCGTAAATGTTTTGTCAAGACTTCTTCGTAAATGTTTTGAAGAACTGAAGGTGTCACCAGGTCCCTCGGTCCCTCGGTCCCTCGGTCAACTAACATCTTTTTGAAAATGGTGACAACATGACATTTTGACAACACTCCGCTTTTTAACTTCACTTAAAATGCCACGTAAGCTACGTAAGAATATACGTAAGAGGAAGAGAGCATTGAAACATCCAATAGTAAAACTGACACCACAACAACAGTTGCAACAACAAATGCTGAATGACCCCACTATGTTGCAACAAATGTCAAGCAATCCTATGCTTTTAAACCGAGTTCTTGGTGCACAGAGTGGAGGTTTAAGAGCGGCACTTTTAGCGAAAATGGCAGGCTATGGTGGAGCTGCAGACGGAACAGCCTATAACCCTCAAAGTCAAATGAATTTGAGTTCACTCAAAAATCAAATATCA